CGACTTCGATTAGGTCAAGATCCTTTCAAGCAATTGCTTATCGACATTAAAAGATGTTATCCGGGAAAGGAATAATATATTTAGCGTTATATAAATAGTTTTTAAAAATAAAAAAGCGTTAAAAAATAAAATTAAAAATGTAAAAAATATACAAAAATATAAAAATACAAAAAAATTAAAAAATACAAAAATACAAAAAACAGTATAAAAACAAAAACAAAAAAAAAATGGAGTCAGTTCTTCGTCACGTCCTAGTCGTTGACTCCGGGCTTGGCTGAGAACGAAGAATATATTAATGTTTTCTTTCATGTTTCTTACAAGGAGATACCCCAACTGCCAAACGAGTTTTTTAATGAGCTTTGGTGTGGTGGTAGATTAGGAAAATATAAGATTACGCCTCCAATATTAGCCGTAGATACGCAGCCGTTTTCGAGAATGTGAGGGTTGAAATTAGGCGAGCACATTATCTACCTTAAATTTAAAGGTTCAATTGTAGCATTTCGTTAGCCGCGCAACGAACGCACTGGACTCACAGTCCAAAGATCATGCGTTCGAGCCTCGGCACTGTCCTTTTTTTTTTTATTTAAATTACTTTTTATTCTAAACGTCAATTATTTTACTTATTAATAATTAATTATTAGCATTGTTTATTACCTAAAATAAAAGAAATAATTAAATTCGTTTAAAAATATATTAAAAATTTAGGAAACTATTTCGAGAAATAATTCATGTTTACAAATAAAATTTCAAACATTTTATATTGTGACCTCGACTATTAACTTTTTGTTTTTTAAAAGTGACAACAAATAAAATATAAGGTCAGATTCTATCTTGAAACTAATGATAGACGACCGTTTAAACCTAAAGATCAACCGTTTTTCAGGTATACGTATTGTCCTTTGTATTTTCCCCCTCTACTTGTGCCTTCTCTCCCTTATATGCGAATCTTTTGTGGCAAGAACATACTGGGACAGACTGGTTTTGTGCGTGCTGCTGTATAGCCGTTCATTTCTTGCAGTTTACTCTACGTTTCACTTTCGTCAATTTCAATTCTATAACGAAATCTTTTACAATGGAAGCCGCGCAAAGTAGTGCTCACGTGTCAGACTTGGAAGAAACAATAAGTGATCATGAAACTTATTTGTGCCATCCAGCCAGCAAGGAAGAACAACAGGAATTGGCTGATGGATTCTATTACTGCAAAAAGCTGTTAATCGAAGCAAATTGTATTACTGACACGGTGAGCGCCAAAATTAGCAAACGATCCGTACTGATCGGTAAAGAATTGTTTAACCGTTTCATGGATATGTACGGAAGTATGTTTTTCACTGAAGAAGAAGTTTTGGAAATAGCAGAAGATACTGAAGAAAAGAAAAGAAAAATCGCAGAATTATCTTCAGACAGCGACGACGAAGAAGAACAGAAGTTGGAGAAAATTCCATTTGGAATGAAAATTAAAGCTGTGCAACTCGCGGAATTACATCCAGAGTGGTCGATCAAATCGCTACGTTCGAAATCAACTCGATTATTAAAAGATAGATCACAGTTGGCGAGATGGAAAATCGATATCGAGAAAGGTGGTACGCGATATGATAAGCTTCGAGCCATCAATAATAACGTGTACAATAGATTTGTTGAAACGAAAGATTAAAGAGGACTTGTGACAACACAGATGCTGAAACAGTGGGCAATGACTGTTGCATTTCAATTTTTGAACGGCAATTTCGAATTTAATGCTTCTAATCATTGGGTAGCAAATTAAAAAAAAAAGTACAATATATCGCAACGACACGTGACAAAATACGTCAGTAAAAAAGAGAGATCGACGTTTGAAGAATTGTCAGACATTGCAGCGAAGTATCAACAGCAAACAAGTAATATAATTACAAATTTTGATCCGGATTATGTGATAAATACCGATCAAACTGGATGTGAGTATAAGATCAGCAGTAATCGCACTCTCACTCACAAGGGTGAAAAAATGACAGAAATTGCTGTTCAGCAACTTAACAAACTCACACACTCCTATACAGCACAATACGCCATGACATTGTCAGGAAAATTATTGCCAAAAGTCTTTATCTGCCTGCAAGAAGTTACCGGAAAATTTGGTCCACGAGTTCAGAAAGAAGTCGACGAATGGATGGCAAAATATACAAACGTTTATGTCACTTCCACAAAATCTGGAAAACTGCAGAGTAACACATACGAGGAAGTTTCGAATAATATTATACAGCC